TATTTTACATTACTGTATAAGGTTTATTGCCTTCATGTATGTAAGTGCAACGCTAGTGGAGGTCAAAAGAAGGTGCTGGATCCCCTGGAACTGGAGCTATGCACAGTTGTTAGCCACCACGTGTGGATGCTGGGGCCAAATTCAGATCCTCTGCAAGAGCAGCCAGTGTTCTTAACCACTGAGTCAGCTCTCCAGTGCCCTTTAATTACGATTTTAAGAGTGGTTCCAAAGTAGGATACTAGTTCCCCTAGCTATTAAAACCATCTGTCTCTCAAAACTCTGTGCCAATGGATCTCTTTGGTTTCCTCAACCTGTGCAGCTGAAGTTGTCTGTGTCCTCACTTAGTACTAATGGAACTGTCTCTGGAACCTGTTTCTCCTACCGTGTTCCTTGGTCAGGCCTCACCCATAATTTATCCAAAATGGTTTCTCCAGCTTCATTGGAGAAGTACCAGCTTAAGCTCAACTTCATCCTTAATCTTTGACAGAACATCTGGCCTTTTTATCCCTAGTATCTCACTCACAGGTCCTTTCCCAACCTCCACTATGTCTGAGTGGGTATGCTGCTTGCAGGACTTTGATATGTTAATTATCAAGCATACCCACATTCATTCACCATCTTTCTGGGCAGAGTACCAAACTGAGAGGTTGCCAATGAAACGCCCTGGTCATTAGACCCAACAGCATGAGTTTGTTGGGGTTAATTAAAAGTCATTAGTTCAGATTATGTCCATTAATAAAAGCCATTCCTACATTATGACACTTTTATCTTAGGTGTAATCAACAGCTGTCTAACTGGACTTAAGACCTTCTCAAAGGGAGCGAAATCATATGTGGTACAATAAGTATAGACAAGTGCACATCATTGGAGAGATAGTAGATCCTAAAGAAAAATTTAGTTCTGTAACTTCCCTAGACTAACATAATTTCTTACTGTATTCTATGACATTTACAGACAAATGTCAAAGAAGCTTATTTTTACAACACACACAGACTATTACAAACCTCCACAACTGCTCAAATGCAAAGAATAAGTGAGTTTTAGGTGCCCAGACCTAAGTGACACATGTACAATGCAACCTCTATTCCCAGGGAACATTATGATAAAAAGACAGAAAGAATGCAAGAGCCAAAGGGATAAGACACCTGCTTCTAGTGAATGCATTCTAGACATGATAGAGAAGTTGGGCCAATGAAATCTCCACAGTGTGGTAGTCTAAGGAGAGCTGCTTAATAACAAAACAAATTGACATGGCAAGCTGGATGGTGGGATATCATAGGATCCTACCTCATGATAAGGAACTACAGATAATCAATGGATGCTGAAAGGGAAAATCAGTTTTCTCAGGGACTAGCTCCTTGAGAGGTTATCGAATTCCAAATGACCAGCCCTAAACACAGGTCCACCTGATCCCCTCTAAATAGACTCAGTGCTTTATGCAATAAGTGTGTATTTATAAATATGTGTATATGTAATAACAATAATAATGAAAGAAGTGGACAAGAATTGAGAGCGAGCTATGGGATGTGGGAGGAGTTTGTAGGGAGCTTTGAGGGATGGAAATAGTGCAAAAACAACACTCTTGTAGGTAATTCACAAAACTACAAAATTTTTTAATTAGAAAGAAACATCCGTGCAGACAAATAGAAAATGGATAAATATAAAATTCACTCCAGTTGACCTGTGGCACATGGTTTTGCTCTCAACTGGCAACACAAAAAAATGTAGTTCCCTTTCCAGACAGGAAGCACAGTCTTGAGCCCATCACAACACAATGCAAATTAAAAGCTACATTTCTAGAAATGTCATCTCTACAGAGATATTCATGTTATGGAGTATCAAGATTTCTAGCCATTTTCTAGGTTAATCTGAAAATACCACCAGAGTCTCCGGCTGACCACCCTCAACACTTTTCATCACTCATATGACTCATTTATCAATGCTGAGTTTCAAAGAAAGATTGTAAGTTTCATGGGACCAGAGGCTATGGCTCCTTTACACAACTGCTTCCACCTGTTACAAGGGTGGGCACACAGGACACACTCCACAGATGGCTGCTGAATGTGTAGATAACCTACAACTTGATTTTGGTGACATTTGATTTTTCAAGATGTTACATAAACTACGACTAAATTTCATTAGTAATGGTTGTGTTTATCATGGGCTATTTAAGGAATTCAGTTTCTGAATTATGCAGTGTCCTGTCTGACAGTATGACAAATTTTCCAGGAGCCTGTGTACCTTGAACTAGTTATCATCCCCTAAGGAAGCTGGTGTTTGCTGTCATGGTGCTGACCCTGTATCTTGACTTATTTCTACTTTGTTTTGGCTACCTGAGAACTGAGGACCAGAAGTGTAACTCACACTTTACTACCACTTGGGGCTCACAGAGGGCAAGTACTGTCTGCTTTTACTCAGGTCCCATTTCCTCCACCTCTGGCTTTGCCTGTTTGCCTTGTTTCATTAAATTATTTTATATACCTTTCTAAGTCACATTCATTTCTTTGGAAACAAGATGAGACATAATTAAATTGTCTTTTTTCATTTCATGATAGAAATTATTAATTTTGCTGAAGAAAAGAAAGATGACAGGAAGACAAACACAGACTTTAGCATCGTGTAGCTGATCTTGAGGCCTTGGGGAAGTTTCGTGAAGAGAAGATACCATTTCTAACCCATATTGTGTAATCTCAGTTTCGCATACACACAAGACAACTTTTTCATTATAGAACACCATTATATTAATGCTACAAAATATTTAAAACTAAAACACTGAACCAGGATGTTTTATTTACAGTTGTGGTTGGAACATTACCAATTAAGAAAATGAATGAAAGTGTACAGTATGTGAAAACTACCAGCACCAGGTAAACAGAACTCTTTTTAAGTCCAAGAGAAATTTTATTGATTTAAGAATTTCACACAGTGAACTGTGATTCTGTTCAGACCTCCTCCCCCACCTCTACCCTCACACTACCAGTGTTCCAACGTCCTTACCTTCTTCTTCATGTCTTACTCTATACATCTCACATAACACCTTTGAGTTGGCTACCAGAGAAATCATAGCTCATTAGGGTGTCAATGATCTATAATTCTTACACAGAGGTGAAAGGGCCAACTCCCTTTCCTTTGTATGTGGTCGGGGTCAGAATACACCCAGGTTTCTTAGAATGAAATTTTCCACTCTTAATTTCTATTTCCCTTACACACTGCTACTGCTTAGGAATGCATCGAGTTTGGAAGCCACTAAAGGGAGCTGAAGATTTTCTGTTTTAGGACAAATAAGATGCAAATAAGCAAAATAAAATGATTGACAAATAGAAACAAAAAAGGAAATTCAGTGAATGGATGTGATATAGCTCAAAAGATTCCAGAGCAGTTAGAACTGGTGAGGTGGCTAATGGTGGTCTCAGAAGCCAGAACCTCACATTAGTCTTCACATGGTTCCTAGGAAACTCTTTCATACTGAAACATTTTCACAATTCTCTCTCTCTCTCTCTCTCTCTCTCTCTCTCTCTCATCTTTTTTGAGTCAGGTCTCCCTGTAGCCCAAGCTGGCTTGGAACTAGCTATGTAGACCAGGCTAGCCTTGAATTCACAGAGATCCTCCAGCCTATGCCTCCCGAGTGCTGGGTGCTGGGATTAAAAGCTTGAGCCACCACAGGCTGCCGGGTTTCTCTTTCTATGAGTGATCAGAAACACTTGGTTTCCCTCATCAATGTCAATTGTTCATAACCCTTGAACACAGGTTACACTTTGTCTGTGTCTTTGTCTCACTGCAGCACAATGACCCCTCTGTGGACAAAAGCATTCTCCAACAGGTTGATTCCCCACAGGGTTTTACCGTGGGTAAAAGAAGAAGCTAGGTCCTCACAGCAGGCAGCAATTAGCCCCCAGGTCTTGAATCCAAGATTCTCTGAGTGGCAGTTGGGGGGTGTCACAGCTTTACATGGCGTCTGTACACTAGTGTCCTCCAGTCTGTTTTCTGAAATCTGTACACTTCTCAGATTGCTAGTGTTGTTGAGGAGACTGCAGCTGCGTCTTAATAACCACTGGGTGATGATGATGGTCAACAGGCCGACCATGGCGCCACCAGGATGCAGGGGTGGACAAGCTGCACCATGGCTCTGCCATATCAGCTAGACTCTAACCTACCAGTGCGTTTGTGGACTGCCGGGCCAGCTCAGCGCTGCCATCTTGGCTCCCCAGTTGTTTTTCCTCTTACCTGCCAAGTCCCGAGTTCAGAATTTTGAAATCCATATAAAAGCATCAATCTTCTTAATAAAATGAAGAGTCCTGGAGTCATGTTATAACTCCTTGTGCCCAGAGTCTCCATAACCACAATTGCTCTGGCTAGGCCATTATCTTGGCTCTCAAAATGTTTTCCTTTCTTACTTGCCAAGTTCTGAGTTCAGAATTTTGAGATCAATATAAAAACACCTATGGACACCTTCTATGATAAGGTTCCTCACATGGTCCATCACACACATTCAGTCTCTTGGGAATTGGCACGCCCCAAGCCCAAAGTTGACTGCCTGGGGTGTACCTCATCCCTATGTTATCTTTTCTCTCTCCATCACTTCTTCTGCCTTGTCATAGTTCTTCTTGTATGTATCAAAACTCATACTGAGCAATGAGTTCTAGGTTGCAAAAGGGGATTTATTTTTGCATGTGTCTTTCATCCCTTTATCCACCAGCTGAACAAACACACACATACACACAAAGTGCTTTTAAATTATGTTACAGTGGGACTGGACAGATGGCTCAGCAGTTAAGAGCATTGGCTGATCTTGCAGAGAACCCGAGTTCGAGTCCCAGCACCCACATGGCGGCTAACAGCTGTCCATAACTCCACTTCCAGAGGATCCAACACCATCTTCTGACCTCTGCAGGCATTGCACAACACAGTGCACTTACATACGTGCAGACACATACACATAAAATAGAAATAATAAGTAAAATATTTTAAAAAATAAATTAGGCTACAAAGTACAGCATCCCTGCCTCCTGGTGCTTACCACAGGCTGTGTTCTTACACTGACTGTATAGAAGGAGAAGGCAGAGCAAACCTGCCCCATGTACACCCCAGCCCAAGCGGCTGTGCCTGCTCTGTATTGTGAATGGGGAAACATAGGAAAACAAAAGTACAGTAACCCTCCTTTTCCATCCTCACCTTCAAGAGAAATTTATATGTTTTTATGAGAGGTAGATTCTCAAAGTCCCAAAATTAGTTTGAGTCTAGATAACAGTAAAGAACTACAGTCTTTTCAGAACTAATATCTGTGTTGAATAGCTTGTTCAAAATTCAGTTACACTGCATCCTAATGTAACAAAATTATTATAATTCTCAATCTGAATATAGACAATTTGTGTTTAGTATTGCCACTCTGATGGCAATGTATCAGATTTACTGAACTGAAAGAAACAATGACAAAGGAAGACAGACACAGAGAGAGGGATCTGCCCCTGAATAACAAGAGCACACCTACCACAAGAACCATCATAGCTCTGTTCCACTTTCTGGGGAGAACTACTGTCAGTCTCTTTTAGCTCATTCGTTCAAATTTCATATGTATTTGGGCTGGAGAGATGGCTCAGCAGTTAAGAACACTGTTCTGCAGAAGACCTGGGTTTGAATCCCAGCACCCACATGGCAGCTAACAACTGTTTGTAACTCCAGTTCCAGGGGATCCTACAACCTCTTCTGTCCTCCACGGGCACTGCATGACACGGGTACACTTACAAGCAGGTGTAACACCCATACATATAGAATAAAAATAATAAACAAAATATCTTTTTTAAAAAATTTATATGTATTTATAAATGAGGTATTTCTAACATTCCTGCCTCATCACTCTCCATGATTGCTCTTTCTCTCACGTACAAAGGGAATCCAACTATAAATGTTTTATCATAAAACTGCTGTTCAATCAATAAAAAGGGCTAGCGTGCTAGTAAAAATAATTTACCCCCAAGGTTGCTTCATTGACTTGTAAGGTGCACCCAAAGGGCACATAATACCTGCAGCTCCGTTCTCACAGCTCCCCGGACACCTCTCTGGCACCTGTCCCCAGAGTTGCATGGCTTCAATGGCAATTCAGGCATCATTTGGCTGGAGTAGCAAGAAGCTTCGTACATGAGCTCTTTTAAAGCATCAGTTATTTTTTCAATATCATCATAATTTTACTTAAAACCTAGGGTAAATTAGTTCAAGAGTTTCTAACTTTCCAAGAGAAAGTTACCCTTTTATTAAATTTTATTATTTTTATTTTATGTGTATGTGTGTATTGCCTGCATGTAGGTAAGTGCACCTGTGTAGTGCAATGCCCTCAGAGGTCAGAAGAGGCTGTCAGATCCCCTGGGACAGAGTTACAGACAGTTGTTAGCTGCCGTGTAGGTTCTGGGATTTGAACCCAGGTCTTCTGCAAGAACAACCAGTGGGCCATCTCTCCGGCCCAGCCCAAGAAAGTTACTTTTAATTCCTTTTAGTTGGAGGCATCTGTATAAGCATGTAGTGCACGTATATAATATATATCATGATGCACATACATGTGTATGCATATATCATATTGTCATATATTCATACATACAGTATACATGCATGTACCACATCTGCATTAGATGATGTACTATGTATGCCTTATGCTTATGTACATTATCACATGTGCACACCTATAAATCATATCTGTGAAAAATCTTTTCACTGAAAATGGTTTTGTTGGCATCAGGGCTTGCTGTGCACCGCCACCCAGGGGCTTTCTACATTCAGTACTACCATCTTGCCAAGAGGCATTCAAAGTCATTAGCAAATGCTTGCTGGGCAGTCCTTCACCATAGATGTTAGCATTTCCACTGCATCCCACATTGTGGTGTCATTTCCCACAGCATAAATGCCTATTTCAAAGAAAGGTGAGGAAAGGAAGACAGAGAAGAATGCTAAATTAAGAAAGGACAACCTAAAATTACACTGACAAGACGGGCAGAAAAGAATGAGAAAGGGGAAGAGGAGGAACACAGCTTTATCATGTCTCCGTGCCGACTGATCTGGGCAAATACCCCTTCTTGTAGCAATAAAGACAAATAAAGTACAAAGAAAGGGTACAGCAGATTGCAGACCTGGCCAGTGCTTGATAAATGGCATTCCACTTCACTCCGCTTATTGTGTACTTCATACCTCACTCCTGAATATGGAGGAGAATTTTATTAAAGATTTAGCCACGGTGGTGGTGGTGACTGGCTCACAGTAATTTTCCTACAAAGTAGTTTAATCTATCACAGGGCAGACAGTGTACCTTCTTACCATGTATCATATCTGTCTATTGAGTAAGTGCTATCCAAATCCAATTTCTTTTCATTTTTGGAACCTGTGATGCATATGCAAGATACACTTTTGTTTTGTCTTTGCCCTAAATTGGGTTCTGTATAAGATGAAAGAAAAAAAAATAGTACTAATAAAAAGGAAATACGCATTCTAAGGTTTCCATGGCACTCTGATTATTTTTTATATTTCACAAAAATAAATCACATAATTTTAATGACATATAGGATTGGTCACATGTGGAACCACCAAGACCTTTCATATTTATGGTATGAATATGAAGCATTGCATCACTGATTATGAAATGAACTTAGAAGATCATTACAGTCAGGTTCCAGTTTCAAGTTTTGTGGAGTACATAGGGGTGTGCTTCAAAAATGAGGTGACACTGGCAGTAACAGGGAGACTGTTTTCTGACAACAACCACTCAGCAGTTCATTATGTGACAATATGTAAATCCGGGCGTCCCATAACCAAGGGGAGCTCCAAGTACTCTGTTAGGGAATCCCAGATGTGAGTGCAACTGCCAGAGGCCGTTCATTTCAGGTGCTCCAGGTACCACGTGCTCTCAGCAAGTCAGTTTTTTCAAAGATAGGTCCTGGCTCCCATCAGAAAATTCTCTCAGCCCTCCTTCCGTTGCTTCACCTGTTTCCACTGTGATGAACTGTTTTCTCACCGAACACTTGTTTCATTCAAATGCTCTTTGTCATTCTTTGTAGCAAGAACTAATTTTGCTGATAATTAGGTACAGCAAACCCTTCACATTTCTAAAACTGACCTTACACATTTTCCAAAATTGTAAGGGCAGTCAGCATGTATTTAGGAAACAAAATGTATATTTTAGAATCATAAATTATTCTTTGATATTACTAGGAGTACTCTGAAATCCCAAAGATAGTCAGTTCCTATCTACCAAGTATGGTTATCCTATCAGTTTACAAGTTGTTTCTTCTCTCAGTAGTGAATTATCAGTACCTTTTCTCTGACTTTCAGTGGAAAGTGGTAGGGCATGGTAGCGCACACCTTGATCTCAGCACTCAGGAAAAGAAGCAGGCAGATCTCTGTGAGTTCATGGCCAACCTAGTCTACATAGTGAATTCCATGTCAGCTGGGGCTACAGGGAGACTGACTCCCTCTCTCTCTCTCTCTCTCTCTCTCTTGGTCTTTTTGAGACAGGGTCTCCCTGTAGCCACAGCTGTCCTGGAACTCACTATATAGACCAGGCTGGCCTTCAACTCACAGAGATCCGCCTGCTTCTGCCTCCCGAGTGCTGGGATTAAAGGCGTGCACTACCATGCTTTTTTTTTTTAATTACTATAACTCTCTCTCTCTCTCCCTCTTACAGGGAGACTGACTCCCTCTCTCTCTCTCTCTCTCTCTCTCTCTCACACACACACACACACACACACACACACACACACACTCAAAGAAAAAGAAAAAACTGAAATCTAAGATTCAGGAAAAATTAACAGTAACTTTTTATTAGAAAACTTTGAGCATCACTTCAATCTCTCAAATTGTTCAGTTTAAATATGAAAAAATAATTTAATCTCACAAAGTAATTTGTCTATGTGATCAAACTTTCTTATTATCAGAAGAGCACCAAAGAATTTGCAATGAAAAAACTATATATTTTAAATCTAAAGGACCAAGTTTCAAATCCTCTCTCAGTGTTAACTAATCGATGACTGTTAGTAAACTTTTCAGCCTCAGTTACTTGTCTTTAAAAGGAAAAGAATCATATTTATCACATAAGTTAGTTATGAGAATCAAATAAATTATTCAAAATGCCTGACACAAAATAACTACTCAAAAAAAAAACAACAAAAAAAAAAAAAAAAAAAAAAAAAACCACAAAAAAAAAATATTATTACAAAAATTAGTTTTAAAAAAAAAAAAAAAATTTTAAAAAACCCGAAAAAAAAAAAAAAACCAAAAAAAAAAAAAAAAAAAAAAAAAAAAAAAAAAAAAACAATTAGACACAAAACCAATCTAGAAATCCATGTTTGGTATGATTTTCTTTTTCCAGATTTTTTTATTATTTTTAACCATGTGTGTGTGTATACCAGTGTTGAGGTGTGTGCATGTGAGCATAGGTGCCTGCAGAGACCAGAAGTGCCTCTGGGGCTGGAATTATAGGTGGTTGTGAGCTGCCTGGACATGAGTGCTGGGAACTTGGTCCTCTGAAAGAGCAGTATGTGCTCAGCCTCTGAGCCAGCTCTGTAGTCCCTGATTTTCTTAACACGTGTTCACATTACCTGTCGTCTCTCATTCACCTATCCATGTACTGTAACTCTGTTCTTAAACATAAGCAAAATTAAGTTTTCATCTAAGATTAAGTAAAAGACATTTGCATATAAAGGCAATTAAAATTTATTGAGATTATAGATGTTTAAATATATATGATCATATAAAGCATTACGAGTTACATATCATACTATGGAAACTTTACCCAGGTAAGGGCAACAGGGATATAATAAACCCGTAGCATTGCAAAGAATCTTATTTCTCATCAGTTTCCTAAATGTACTGACAATAAAATATGGAATTAGTAATTTTTAACATAATACTGTTATGTGGCGTTACACAGATTTTTGTGTCCTTGTGAAGTGCATTTTTGTTATCATAAAATTGAAATACATAGTGAATAAAATTTCTCAGAAATAAAAAAAAGCCTTCATAGTTTTAATGCCAGAAAAAATTGCTCTTAACAGTTTATGAAAATCTTTAAAATATTTAAATACAGCTTATAAGTTTTAAGATTAAATTGAGTCCTTCAGATATATGAAATAGCTATATATGATCTTATAGTGCTT